TCGCAAACTAAACTAAACTAATGGCAGGACGCAAACCGCGAACTCTTAAAGGTCGTGAATTCGAATTCTACGAATGACTACTGCCGTGTACCACTCCCATAGAATACTATAATAAACAATAGAACGGCTGTCAACTTTATTTTATACGAGGATTGGCATCTCCAAACCCGATTCGCTGTGTTGACAGACTGAGTAAATTTACACATTTTAGACTTTTGATTAATATTCAAGTTCATCATTAAAAAAAATTGGCATTTTCTACATAATATGCATGCGAAATTTGGAAACGATTGTAACGTCAAAACACATCTCGTGTTGACATTTATACGTGTGAATTGACGTGTTAGTGACATTTTAGTGGCTATGCGGGCACCGCCCACTCCCCCGTTCTATGTATGTGTTATAGTATTCTATGACCACTCCTAAGACAAGTAAGCTTACCACCTTACCAGTAGTGGTTACAGGGAATATTAGTAATGTGAATAGCATTGCTAGTATTTAAAAAAATGGTTAGGAATTATTTCTACTACTCACTAAACAAATATCAAATTACAACTAGCCACTAGCTCAATAACAGGAGACTGTTCTATCAACATTATGAATGGGTCGCCCCGATATAGGTCGAAGCACAGTCACTCAATATTAGAATAAAACAGAATAATACAGCTGTCTTTCGTAATTCGTGAGTGTAAAGAACTAGAAAACAATGTTACTGGTAACGAGGCAATCAACCTCAGTCCTCTAGTCACCATTATTCTATATAAAAAAAAATCTTTACTCTAGACGTAAACAGAGAGTTCTCTGTTCTTAACCAGGGCAGGAGGAAACAGCAGCCGAAATTGACTGACCAATGGATGCCGTTTATAGTGCTGAGTAACTTGAATCAATGAGGTCACTCCCCGAGGTCATTGATATCATTCCATAAACTAGCTAAAGAAGCTTAGCTCTTAATTTCTGCCCACAAGCAAAATACAGGTGAAAGGGTGGAGCTGTGGACATCAACCCGGCTCAATCAATAAAATTTTATCAAATGACAAACAACTGATCAGAAATATCTGTAATAATGTTCGCCGGACCAATTCGCCTACAGTGGCTTGCCTCAACGGAATACAGCCGTCTGCGCAAGACAATCATTGTGACCAACTTTATGTGCTTTCTTACAAAAAAACTCAATAAATGATTTTGACCCAACCTCATGACCAGCAATTGCAGTTACTACCAATTAGCAGTCCGTGGGTAGTTGGAAAAGTCTTATGGCTTTCTATAGATGGGGGTACAACAATCTTGCTAACGTCATACGTAATCAACCCAGACTGGACAAAGAGAGCAGTGTCAAATGCTCAAAGATGCTCACATCTGTTACTGCAGTTGTCTATCCAGATGCTCAGCGTGACGATTAAAACTAGGAGAGGCTTACATCCACAGGCTGTGACACACATCACATTTACAGGCTGTTTAAGTAGAAGAAGAAAAAGAAGAGAAGAAAAATACAAGAATAAGAAAAAGAAGACATTTATACAATACAGTGAAACCAATTGTCAAACACAATTTCTACTATATTTGCCCACTGGGAACTAATGAGAAAATGACAAGCAAAATGTGATTAATCACTAATATTTCTTCAAATTGTATCATGGATATATCATGATATGGCAATCACATCGCAGATAAAGGAAATGCCACAGTAGTCATGGATATGTCGGATTGTAATTCTAAAATACAAGAACTTTTGTCTCTCCAGAGTTTGCAAAGCACTTCTCTCCCTGGACATCCACAAGTCGAGTGGGCCTGACGGAATCCCCCCACAATTATGCTGAGGATGTGTGCTCCAGAGTTGGCACCGGTTTTAACGCCTTTTCCGATACTCCTACTCCCTAGACGTAGTCCCAAAATCATTGAAGACGGCTTTCGACCACCTGATCTCTAAAAAAGGCGTCCACTCAGACCCGTCCAACTACAGGCCTATCGCCATCACCTTCCTGTTCTCCAAAATAATTGAGTCTATAGTAAACTGCCAGCTCATGAGGTACCTTGAGGATCACCAACTGATCAGTGACCGCCAAAACGGTTTCAACCTGACTCATAGATGGGCAGGGGCAGTAGAGTCCAAGGGGGAGGCTTTGGCCGTTAGTTTGGTCATTGCGAAGGCCTTCGATCGGGTTTGGTACAAAGCGCTTCTTTCAAAGCTCCCTTCCTATTGGCTTCCCGAGAAATTGTGCAATTGGATCACCAGCTTTCTTGCAGATCGGAGCATCAAGGTTGTTGTAGATGGTGCAAGCCTATTAATGCTGGTGTTCCACAAGGCTGCGTACTATCACCAACGCTGTTTCTTCTGCATATCAATGATATGTTTCATACCGGCAACATTAATTGCTATGCAGATGACAGCACTGTTGATGCTCTGTACACCGGCCGTGCTAATATTTCTCGGGAAAACATCTCTGATTACCGGGACAAATTTGTGTCTGAAGTAGTCTTTGCTGAACAGTCTCGGATTGAGGGCGACTAAATCTAGTCCAGTTTAAACCTCAGAAGATACAAGTTTGCGCGTTAACCGCTAAAAAGAACCCTTTTGTCGTATATCCTCAGTTTCAAGGCACTTTTGTTGCCTCAGTCAGTATCGGAATCCTCGGCGTCGACATATCAAGTGACGTGCAGTTTCGTGGTCACTTGGAAGAGAAGGCCAAATTGGCCTATAAAAAGCTTGGCGTGCTCAGCAGAGCGGGACAGTATTTCATGCCGACACACCGTCTGCAACTTTATAAGGCGCAGGTTCAACCGTACATCGAATACTCTTCCCATCTCTGGGCTAGGGCTCCCCAGTGCCAGCTCCTTCCACTTGATCGCATCCAGCGCAGAGCTGCTCGGCTCGATTCACTGGCGCTGCAAAGAGATGTTGCATCTCTGCATTATCTGTCGCATATACCACGGGGAGTGCTCTGAGGAATTTTTCGGATTAATCCCAGCCGCCAAATTTCATTAACGCACTACGCGTCAAACTTCCCGATACCATCCACACCATCTGGATGCTTGGCGGTCCACCACTGACGTTTCAGAAGGAGTTTTCTTCCGCGTACGACCTTTCTGCGGAATAGTTTAACACCGGCGATTTTTCCGGACCGATACGACCCAGGGACCTTCAATAAAAGAGCTTATTCCTTTCTAAAGGGCCGGCAACGCACCTGCAATTCCTCTGGTGTTGCGGTTGTGCACGGGCGGCGTTAGTCACTTAACATCAGGTGAACTGTATGCTCGTTTGCCCCCTCTTCTATAAAAAAAAAAACAGTAAACAAGTGGCCGGTCACAATCGAGTTGAGTGAGTGCCTGCTGTACTGCCATATGTCAGAGGTGTCATTGACAAGTTGGCTACATTTTGAAGTGTGCTTCTATTAAAACATACTTCAAGCCGCCAAAGATTATTCAGTTTTTATTATCAATATAGTGTAATGTCCCTCTACAACATGCAGGTGTAAAAGCTTAATTATTATGAATGTGGTCTCTCTTACATAGGATAAAGTAAAAGATCAATAAAAACCTGTGTTAAAGAACACATAGACAATATGAAGAATCGAGGCTCTGGGAATTCTGCAGTCTTTAAACACGTACAGGATCGCTTCCGTCACTACATCAGATTTAATAAACCACAAAACCTCACTAAAGAACACTGATTTCTTCTAAGGATGATTCATGAGGCAATTGAAATCAAAAAAATATGTGTGGCACTTGGTGACTGCCGTGGTAAAGCATAGCATTTTTTATCAACTTACACAATTATAATTATTTATTTATTTTATTTATGCAGTTAAGTCTTTGATATTAAATCAAGTTACACTTTTTGAGCGTGGTGACCGATGAGAAAACAATTTTTTTTTCTCTTTTTGAATAAATGAGAAGTTAATATTGTTTAAAATATTTTTAATATCTTACAATACATGTAGGTTATTCAGGAATTTTTATCATTGAGTTAGCAGCTAGTGTACACGCATACGTCTAGTCGCACGCACACAAACACCGTGCCGAAGTCTGCCGAGTGCCGAAGTCTGCCGAACTGAAACGACGTTAGACGATGCACGGCTTTCAACGCCACACCTCCGTGCCCGTCGGAGTGGGGAGCGTGAGGTTTTTTTTCGTTACGGAATTTCTGGATTCGGTCCCCGCGCTCAAGGCCCGCGATAGAATCTATGCAATAACTTAAAAACATCCTAATTTCCATAGAGAAGATGGCTGGGTGCTATCATCTGCTTGCGATCCTATAATTAATAAAATTAAATCCCAACCCAAGCATACAACTGCAAGACTTCAAGATACTATAAGTTCATACTGCGTAGATCAGAACAAAAACAAATAATTTTAATCTGGAGATAGCCGTGGTTAACTATGACATTGGGATGTCGGAAACCTGGGTCCCCCCCCCTCCCTGCGACCATGGGTTCTGTAGTGCTCGAAATGTCGGAAATATAAAATAACTTACACAATAAAATCCATAAAAACTAGCTTTCTGGTCTTAAGGATATAATAACAGGCTGTGAAGCAAAACATCTAAGTCTTCAGGGGTGACAATGCATGGGTAGCATTCTTTGTTTAAAGTTAGTTGAAAAGTCTATGGGCTGTAGTAGTCAGTTATATATAGTCTGTTCCCTAAGATAGTGTCCGTACACCCAGAGGCACACTTACTATATTCTTTTTATTTTATTATTTGTCGAATGTACTTCTATTTTAAGAATAAAATAAAATAGAACACTATTTTATTCTTTTGGTTATTGTAATAAAATAGGAATATAAATAATGAATACAAGTTAGATAGCATAGAATCTTTCACTATGGCACTTCACCGTGTACCGTGTACACCGCACACGGTGATCTTTGATGCGCGTGCCATGACGATGCGACACATATGAGACCGTATCTAAGCTAACTATACCATCAAGTGGACTGTTAATTAGTCTGTAAACTCAATATTACAAAAAAAAAATAAACATTACAATAGGACCAAACTATACTTACTGTGTGTGTGCCTTTTCTCCAGTCGCGCCACAAGTGGAGCAAATGTACTGTTTTAATATGGGGCAAGTGACAACATGTTCACCTCCAATTTTCTCTTTCACTGAATGGCCCATGTAAATATCTGGTCTTTCCCCATTTTTACGGCAGAAAGTACACATTTTTGATGACCTGATCTCGTCCTTTGATGAACTTGCACCTGAGAAACTTTGAGAAGAAAATCCGGAGAAACGCGGCGGTGTAGTGTATCTTGGTGTAAAACTTGGCATTAATTTTGGGGAATGTGGTGACATGTTGGACATTCCAGATGAGACATTAGAAAATGTTGGTGATAAGTTATGTAAAACAGGCGATAAACTTGGCACTATAGGTTTGGCAGGTGTGCGAAATTCAAAAGATTTTTCAGTAGGAAATAATTCATAATTTCTCGTTTGACTATTCTGTTCGAATGGGTAATTGGGCGGAGTAACGGAAAGTTCATCAATTCGTGCACTAGGCATGACCATATCTCGCTCAACTCTTCTTGCTTGTAATGACCGCAACTGTTCCAAACTCTTCTGTTTGTATGGGTTATTGGGTGGAGTAACAGAAAGTTCATCAATCCATGTATTGGACATGGCCACATCTCGCTCAATTCCTCTAGCTTGTAATGAATGCGACTGTTCCGAATTTCCCAAAATTTTTCTTCCGACAATCGGACGTTGTTTTCGCATTGGTAATGCATCGCTAAAGCTCTGAACTGGAGTCTCAGAGGATCTAATGTTATAGAGCTCTGATGTAGATCTCGGGAAGGGAGTAAAAACATCGGGATACGATTCAGGTGACGTAGAATCGGCAGAACTTGACGAGCGGTTGGCAAACGTCGAATGAAGTGGAGATTGCGAATAGGCACTGCTGTATAAATTTGTTGTTTGTAGATCTGAAATTAGATACAAAAATATGTTCATAATCAAACTACATTTTTAAAAAAAATTGTTACCTAGTTAGAGAGAGTATTCTAACCCTATTTAATTCTATTTTAATAAGAATGAAAAGTAGTATGTTTTATCACCACCATACAAATAATTAAGACAATATGTTATAGAACTATTTTACTAAGATAATATTTTTAGTAAGTAAGTGTTTATTTCGTGTATTTGATATTTTCTTAGAATAAGTATTATAATTTACTTTTGCTCAATTTTTGTAGAAGAAAAATATTTCTTTTCATTATTTCTAAAGACATTGATATTAAATAAAAAAGCTTTGTAAACTAAATACATGCGTCCGTCGTCATGTGGAAGTACGCGAGCCAAAGGTTAGTTTCCCCGCCAGCACAAATAAAGTTGTTAATTGCATTTTAAGTGGTTGGTGATTATGATGAAATTACTACTGACACAGGCATTGTACTTCTCAAACACATATATGTAGCTTGTGAATGTAAACAGTATGCGAGACGTTTTTAGTGATTTATCAAAGGCGATCGATTGCGTGAAGCTTTATAGACTATTAAGCAAATTAAGGCATTATGGTATTTCAATAAACTTAGCAAACATTATAAAATCATACCTGTTCGACCAATTGTAAAAAGAATTATTAATGGAAGTCTTTCGAAGCACCCTTAAGTATGAGTTAGCCCCAAGCCTCAAGGATCAATATAGGGACCATTACTATTTTTAAAATCTTTAAATGATCATTTATTTTAAGCTAAAAACTTTTGCAAATAGTATTGTTTACTAATAATGCCTCTTTAGGGTTTCATTTAACAAAGTAAATCATACAGTATCTGAAGTATTACACTGGTATTAAAACAAAGAACTATTGATTCTAAATACCAAAAAACTGAGTTGAACAATTATGATTTTAAAGTTTTCTTTAGTACTGTTGTGCGCTATAATTGGCGCCTGGTATGTGGCGGCTGATTATTAGCGCCATCTGGTATCAAGCAGCAGAAATAGGAGCGTCAAGATCTTTCTAGAACTCTCCCACTGGCGACATCTAGTATTGAATGGAAGAACTAAGCTTTCTAGAAAGCTCCACACTGTAACTTTCCACACCTGGTCGGTCGGGAATAATCTGGATGTTTCGGTGGAAAAGGCCTATATAAAGTCGTTGGTGTCCGCGACCGGGGCAGTATTGAATTGGCGATACAAGCGAAGCTTGGGAGCGAAATAAAGTGAACTAAAGTGATCAGTGTGATTAATTATTAGTGTGTTTACGTTTTAATTGGTGTTCGGCAATTAAAGTGTCAATTTTAGTAATTCAATCGGCAGTTTTTATTGTTACGAACCTTAAGCTCGTAACGTTATCATCACTCTAGACACTCGCCTACAAGTAGAATGGAACAAAACTCGGACGCCCAGGGACTAATTATAAATAATCGACCTGTATCAAATTCTTTAATACTTCACGTATGGTGGCGGCTTAAAAGAATCCATCGCTCTATTTCGACCTGTAGTTATCGTAATACGAAACTGCGAAAATGATCATGGCTTCCGATAGACGGCGGGCTTAGTGTCTACACTCCGATACATTTGATATAGCGAGCAAATCCTACGGGTCTCGTTTACTTCTTACATAAAGTTACAGCCCATATACGTCCCATTGCTGAGCACAGACTTCTTCTCATTTCTGAGAGGGTTTTAGGGCAAGGAAGTATCCACCGCGCTACTCCAATACGTGTTGGCAAACTATGTCTTCGAAATATTTTTTCTCATTTCCCACATATGCAGGTTTTCTCTCGATGTTGTTTTTTGACCGAGCAAATGATAAACCAGCACTTAAGATTACAATCAACAATTTCATTGGTGCCGGCGGGGATCGAACCCGGTTTGCACACCTACTGTGAAATTTACGTAAATAAAACTACCATGGCTATATCTTTAACCAGACGTAAAACAACCAGATATAAGTCACTGGTCCAGATAATAAGTTCATCATCATCATCATTACAGCCCTTCACAAGTCCACTGCAGAACATAGGCCTCCCCCAAAGTATGCTATAAAGCACAGTCCTGAGCCACCTGCATCCATCGACTTCCTGAATGACTTACCAGATTTTCACTCCAGTGGGGGGTCGCCTTACACTACGCTTACCGGTACGAGGCTGCCACTCGAGAACCTTTTTTCATTGCCACTTCAGCTTACTAATCCGTAATAAGTTGGAATAATATAATTTTTATAGAATAAGGGTGACAAACGAGCACACAGTCTACCTAATGGTAAGTGGATGCTGCGGTCCATACACATCTAAATTTATCCTCGATTAAGGATCAGAATACAGGTGCGTTGGCACCCCTATCTAAGTTGTAATGTCCCTCGTTTCTAAACCTACAACCTACTTCTAAACATTTCGTATGGTGAGTATAGAAAACCGTCCCCGGTTCTCTATACTCACCATACGAAACTAAGCACCATATAGCTGCAGCTTGGCTTTACCACATAATTAATTCTTCGACTTTCTAAAACATCTTTTTTTAAATATATAGATAGCAGATAACATAACTTAAAATTAAACTCTCAGAAATAATAGGCCTGTGCCTTATTACTTTAAGTAATACACATTTAGTAGCTTGCCAGGCAGACGTTGTTCTGCCCTTTTCGACGACCCTTTGTCATGCCTTATTAAAAATCCTTAGATTAGCAAAAAAAAAGTTGTGGGTCACTCATGGGCAAAAAAAATATCCTCTCTCAAGGTGGACCAAACTGCAAACGGTGTGCAAATTTGATTAAAATCGGTTGTGCGTGCGTGTGCGTGCGCGCGCGCTTGTGTGTGTGTGTGTGTGTGTGTGTGTGTGTGTGTGTGTGTGTTCGCGTGTGTGTGTGTGCGTGTGCTTGTGCGTGCGTATGCGTGTGCGCGCGCGTGCGTGTGTGCGCGCGCGCGTGTATGTGTGTGTGTACGTGCTTGTGGGTGCGTGTGCGTGTGTGTGTTGTAATTTTGCTTTTCGCTTCAAAGTTATTAATAATCTTATGTTATGACATCTGTTAAGTTTATTATATAGTCTAGGGGCTAAAGTCAGTGACGCGATGACATCTCCTTAAACTTTGAAAAATAAAGTTTTGCGGACAGATAACACTTTCGCTTTGTCATACAAAGACACTGTTGATTGGCGAAATGGCAGACGAAAAATGAATTTTAAAATAGCTCTTTGTGCACGTTCAACCTTTATTAAATAACTTTTAGCGGCACCGCCCCAGGCACAAATGCAGTAGGTACAGAGACACTCTCCCAATGCTTTGTATGTTTTGATAAGTAATTTGCAATCGGTTACTGTTCGTAAGCTTTTAAATATATAAATGAGTTTTCTTAGTTTATTTTCTACTGCATCAGATGGGCATCCGTTAATTTATTGTCAATTATCACTCCTAGATATCTCATAATCAGTTTGTTAAATTACTACTTGATATGTTACTGTAGAGTTATAGACGATGCGGTATTTTTAGTGTGGGGTGCGTAACATAACATCTATCTATCTATATGTATGTATATCTATCTATCTATCTATCTATCTATCTATCTATCTATATATCTATATATATATATATATATATATATATATATATATATCTCTGAAACCATTTGTTGGTCATTTAGCATCCATTCACGTAACAGTTATAGTAGGACCGTCGTTTTACAAATATTATTTATCAAATAGATATACTATATAAATTATTAATAGAATCAGGCGTACTTTGCGGAAATCCATTATATTAAAGTTGGTAAGAATTACTTCGCCCAAATCTGCTCAATAATCAGAATCATATTGAGTGGATGTGGGCGAAATATTTACAAAAATCTATTTACGCCTAAGCAGCGTTAAAATACCACATTCAATCGCCTACAACGCGCTAGCCCCGACTGCGTATTTGGCCCGGGCCGTCTCGCGATTGTAGCACATAATAAAATAATAGTTACAAGAAATTGTAGGTAATTAATTCACGCAAGTAGCAAGAGTGACAGAGGCCTGGCACAGGCTACTAAAGTGGTCAGTCATGCGAGTTGACTCCAGTCACTCGAAATCCAAGCTGCAGCTCTCATAAATATTACTCAAGTGCGAGTAAAATAAAAACTACTCCAGTGGCTGGAGTGAAACACGGCTCGATTGCCATAACTAGCGTAGACGCGTGCGAGACGTCTGGCACTGATCGCCAATCTACCCACTTGCCAAGCGTGGCGATTAATAGACTTCGCTGATGATGGAGGAAATTTTTTCTTCATTATTAAAGAAGTCTAAAATTGTCTGCCGGTGCCGCCTATGGCTAATGCCACTTTTGGAAATACTGATGCACTAGTTTACATGATAAAATAATGATTATTATATATAATACAATCAAATTTATAAATACACATCTGTATACATATACTTAGTCGGGTCATAAGTTCTGTCAAAACCTTATACATATTATTTAAAATTTTTGAATATTGTCTAGATGAACATAACCAATTTCAAAAATATAACATGTGCGCTTGCCGAAAATAAAAAAGAAATTAATTTTCATTCATTTTCAAATATGGAGTGGTCGAAGAAAGAAGATACGAGTAGCGGTTATCGCGTTGCAACGCTGTGGTTACGCGCCAAGAGATTTTCAATATTCTACAAAAATTGAAGATTATCGCTCTACGATTTGTTTATCGCACTATCAAACGATTCAGTTCACTGAAGATTCAAGCTTCGAAGATCGTAAGAGGACCGGCCAACCTCGAACAAAGGACACCCGGATACTTGCGATCATCAAAGCAGTGAAGGCACGAATCCGAGGGTTCAACGAGCACATTATCCTTCGTCACTCATGCTTTGGCTTGGAGTCTCATATTTGGGCTTAAAGTAAGGTGTTTTTCAGCGAAAAAGGTGTAAAAACCAGTGCCGAGGTGTACCAATATACCGACCTAACAAACATAGTGGAAGCTTTTTCTCAAACTATGATCAAAAACAGACATTGGATATTCCAACAGGACTCTGCACCTGCTCATAGGGCACGAAGCACGCAAAACTGGTTGACCGCCCATGGATTTGACTTTATCGGACATGAAGACTGGCCCTCTTCTAGTCCAGATTTAAGCCCACTGGATTATAAGATATGGCAACATTTGGAGAAGAAAGTCGGCGCTAAACCTCATCAGAATTTGGTATCTCTCCGAGCATCTTTGGCTAAAGCAGCGGCAGAAATAGATATGAGTGTGGAGCGTGCTGCGATTGATGATTGGCCGCGTCGATTAAGGGCATGTATTCAAAACAGGTGAGGGCTTTTTGAGTAATCTAAATTAAATTGTATTTTAAATTAAATTACCTTTCATTTCATATATAACTTCTATGTAACTATCAAAAAGTGTATCATTAATTTTATAAAAAGTTTTTGACAGAACTTATGACCTGACTAAGTACATATCTGAGCGTGACGGTCACGCGTGTTCAGTGCTTCTTTCCCGATCCCAACAGTGCTCAACGCGCCTAAAGAAATTTTCACCTAATGCCACTGTTAGATAAATTAGGCTTTAGGAATTATTAGGTAGTTAAGTATTTTCGGAACCTAAGACTACGACGATGTTCTTCTAGCAAATTTCGCCCTCAGCTACGTCTTCCAAATGCCGCAGCAAATCGACGGAAAATAATAATGCCACAAGCTAGGGTTGCCTCTAGTGTAATATGTATTATTATATTACTACAATATTAAGCGTTAGGTCAATGAAATGCCATCAAAATCATAACTTGTAAAAAACCAAGTCTCGCAACTCAGTTATTCTACCTTAAAATGTTATGAGATCCATGTAATACCTACCAAGTCGATTTATTTATTCAGTATCTACTTAAGGGTCCTTCTGTCTTAAGTTATTACGTGATTACCAACCCTTACAACATCTTATAGTGACCGTATCAATATTAAAAATCTTTTATGTTTTAAATAAATACATTGAATGATATACCGTGTTTATACAATGCCTGCTTGGTTACTGAAAATTCAGGCTCCTAGTGCTATCCACAACGAAGTTATAGGGGTCGAAAATACCCTGAACTGCTTCGAGAAAAGGATGGTACGGCAGTGCTGCTTTTTTTGCTCGACTTGGCTGGGGCACTGCCGTGCCCCAGATTGTTAATTAAAATTTTAAGTGCTGATTTAACACGTGCTCGGCGGTGACGGAAATCATCGTGAGAAAACTTGCATTTCTAAGAAATAGGAAAAAAGTTCGAAGACACGAAGTTCGCCAACATGCATTGGAACAGCGCGGCGGACATTCCTTGCCCTAAGAACCCTCTCAGAAATGTGAGGAGGCCTTTTCCCAGCAGTGGGACGTATATAGATTGTAACTTTATATTTGTTTACATAATAAAATAGTCTTACAGAAGAAATACTACATTTTTACAGGCCCAATATTTGATATAAGAAAGTCGGTAATACTAGCCTACTGAGGCACACTCCACCCATCTAGCTACCTACCTATGCCCAATGTACAGTGTTGCCAACGGATGAAATAGCAATCCGCCAGACAAGGCTCCTCAAACCACCAGAAAATCACTAACAAAAAGATGTCCCCCTCTGAAAACCACTAAAATTTCCACTAAGATATATGAATATTATTAAAGCAAAAAAAAAAAAGTAAAATTACGTTTATTATTAAAAATCTTATTGTTGTTAATATATTTTTTTTACTTTTAGTACTTAAAAACATCAAGTTGCTTAAGATATTATTTACATTAATAAATCGTCTTCAGATGAATCTGCATTTTCATTTCAGCCTTACTGTTATCCTTATCAGACTGATATGACTCCTTCGTCCCAATTTGTTTTATAAGATTTAAAGGAATTTCATAATTGTTGTAGCACTTTCCCATTAACTGTATACGGCAGCGTATTTTTAGAATTGATTTCAAAAGAGTTAGCTTCATTCTGTTTCGCTGCTTGTTTTTTATAATATTCATGCTACTGAAAAGTCTTTCCACATCGGCATTCGAATGTGGCAATACCAAAAGTGTAATCGCAAATGTTGCTAATTCTTGAAATCGAGCAACACCTTATGCATCTTTGAATTTCAAGACTTTGCTCCAAAATTTTTTTGTATCTTTTGTTTCATTCCATCTCAGTAAATGAATTTGCTGCCATTGATCGTAAAGTTTTGCAATTAATTCTGTACTTGTTACGAACCGAGCCATTATATCAACCAGATTTTCTTTGTTGTGATGCAGGGCTTTTTCGAGACTTATACGGGATATTTGTTTCATGAGAGTAATATTTTCCGGCAATCTGTTTTTTATTTCGTCAATCAGACAACCTATAAACTGTATGCACCTATTCCGCAATACTTCTTCCTCTTCCCGTGGAAAACCTTTCTCTTTCATTTCTTGAATCTGTTTTTCGAATCGGAATCCCAGGTAGCATCTTTGGTCCAAATAGTCACGAATATTTTGAGTAAAGATATCTATCTTATGTGTAGGCAACGTTACTTTTAAAATTCCTAATCCGCTAAAAAAACCACTAGCCACTAAAAGCAAAAATTTGCCACTAAAAGGGGGTTCCAAACCACCAGATTTAGTGGAAAATCCACTAAGGTGGCAACACTGCCAATGTAAAATGCTTAAGTAATATGGTAGGCACAGACCACCCAGTGGTCTGTGATGGTAGGTTTGCTACTTGTGAGAAACAGGGAGTCTCAATAACACCTGACCCAACCAAACCAGCATTTTGTTTGTACACTAATGTTGGTTCTAACTGGAATTTTAAGCCCAAGAATACAATCATAATATGTTAATTTTGGTCTGACAGACAGAAAAACTATATTTTATTTTATTTACCACTACAAAAAGAATAAAAGTTTTAATCAAATTTGAAATTGGAATTTTAGAATCAGACTAGCAGGGTATGATTTAATTTTGATAGATTTTAATTAATTCATTAATTTGATTCAAAATGTTTTCATTATTTGTAAAATATCAGTGCCATAGACTTCTACTCCATAAACATGTTACTCCCTATTGTTTCCAGACAAGATAAAGTGTCATCCAGTATTTTATAAGATGGTGTAAGGTAACCTTCATGTTATATGTTCAATGCTAGGCACGGCTCACTTTTAATTTTTATGAGGTTTATGGAGAAAGAAACAATTAGAATTATTTTATAGAAGGTATGTAACATACCCAGATGGGTACATACAATTTGTAAGTCAGAGTCAAGAATTTGACTGACCCAAAATGACAATATTCTATGCATTTATAAAATGCAGTGAAAGCAGGTACCTATATAGTAATATATAATATACATAATCAATGTATTGATGGTCAAAATACCTAGAAAAGGTTTTCTAATGGGAAATTAGGCACCTTACTGAATTTTTTTTTAAATTTCTCATCAAATTTTAAATAATAGCAATACTGCCTGCACTTCTTCAGTGTCCACTTAACAAAAGTAAAACTGTTGCATCATAAGAAGCATAAAGTTAGTAATTACAGTTACAGCCTATGTAAGTCCCATTGCTGGGCACAGACCTCTAATTTCTAAGAGGGTTAAAATGTTATGAAAAGACATTTTTAAAAATAAATACATAGTATGATTGCCACAGCTATATTTTTCATGATTTGATAATGCAATGTCTAGGAAAAATAGCATACAATTTATATGTGGTGTTTTACCCTGCAGCTATATTGTGGTTTTAACACAAACGGGTCGGTTCAAACGGGGTAGGACCATGATTTCACAAAATAGCAGCGTAAAATAGCAGTTTAATGCTACTGTGTTTTGTATAGTGATTCTAGAGAATCGAAGACCCTTTTTACTGCATAAGAGACATTCCATTTTAGTCCTCAGGAGTGACAATGCATCTACATTTTGATTCTTAATCGAGGATAAGTGTAGATGTCTATGGGCCACACCGTTCACTTACCATCAGATGGACTGTGTTCTCATCTATCACCATTATTCTGAGAAATTTCTTTTTAATTTATTTCTAAGAAATGGAACTGGAATTTTCCTGTCTGGGTCGCTCCACATTTACCTTTTGCAACTATTGCCAATGCATCCACTTCCTGTTCTGGTTTGAAAAATATGTAGCTATGTAGAACCCGTTTAATCAAACGCTGTGAGACAATACATCTGTAGCCTAGTTTGTTTGAAGTTAGTGACTGTGTCCATGGGTTACATTAGCCACTTACCATCAGGTGGACTACCAGTCGATTTATTACTTTCATGGTATAAAAAAATATTCTAATGACTATGATAGCTTGTCTGCTAGCTGGATATATTGCAAACTGTAGACATAGGTTATTTTGGGCTAAAACAAAATTGCATACGTCATCGTAGTTACATAATCATTTCGACAAAAATATTATTAACAAATATGTACATATTTAGTTATTATTCTTAATTGTAAATAAATTTATTAGTATATAACCATAATAAATTATGTCATTAAAAATAAATGTTAAATTATTATTGAATAATTTAAATAGGTAATAAAAGACATTCTTTCGAACGCAATTCATTTTTGAAAATAGAAATTGATACTTACCATTTTCAATTGTCTTCGGAAAAAGTCTATTCATTTCACTAAAATATTCAAACATACTTTTCGAAGGGAACATTGTAGTCTGAAATATCACAAAATCATAATTATGCAATTTTTTCTTTTGTTTACGACAAAGTTATAAATAAATTATATTATCAGCCATCTTCCCTCCCCTTTCACTCATATTCACTACACAGCATAGATTCTACAGTTTTCAATTTTTTAATCAATTTAGAAACTTACAATTATAATGTGTTTTTAAATTACTACGTGGGTGTTTTAATTTACTTTATTTTATAAATAATATATATAAAACGTACTTTGCGTAGCTAAGAAGTTGTTTTTATTTTTACAAATTACAAATTGTTCGTAGGCATTTTACCATAATTAGGTATCTACGAAGAAGTTCTACTGAATACTAAAAATAACATCGCTAAAATTAATTTTTTTAACTCGTACTAGAAACAGCAGTCAAAATAATTATTTGTTGTCATTAATGAGATAGGTAATAAGAATTTCTAAAGATCTTGTTTATTTTTATATCCAAACGACAAATACACTGATTTGTACACATTTAATGATTTCTTAAATTTACGCGAACACTACACATTGAATAAAACTAAATTCTTAGGTCTTATTCTTAGGTCTCCCCCGTGACCATGGGTGCTGTAAAGCACCCGAAACGTCGGGAATTAAAAATAAGTAAAATCAGTTAAATAAACGCGATAGAATCTGTAAATTTAATTTTATTCAATTGTACACATTTAGTTAAAGGTTTGGGAGCGATTCATTACAAAAATATATTATTTACTTATTTCAGAACCTTTTAAAACAGGTCTTGAACTTTTGTTGTAATATACAATAAAATGACTTAATCACTGTCGAGAATAATTAAACAATTACATTTCAAACGCTATGTAAAAAATGTAATAATTAAACAAGATATAAATAATAAATGAATTATATAACTTTTACCTGCAAATATTTCACCAATTTCAACAATAACAACCTTTCCTCCATAAGTTTGCAAAGAGAATGAAAATATTCGTTTATTCATCGGTCGGCTCATCGCTTGTCGGTCACCTTTGAACAACATCAAAGAAAGCCGCATCCCTGATTGTCTAGTAGAGTTGGTAATTGCACAGAATAAATAATTAATTGCTAAATATCATCCTTCTGAGATATCATCTTTTGATCCCAGTTTGATTCTAATTAGCATATAAAAATTCGAGTAAGCAATTTAGGGCTGAACTTGTTAAAATAATAAACTTATCGTTTATTATTTACTAAATTTTCCTTATTTTTTTAAAATAAATAATAAATAAATAAATATCACTTTATTTCCACATTTGAAAAAACATGTTTACATATAAACTAAGTACCTATCTTAATTAAATTTAGGTGATCGGAGGTGACTCAGCTTTTGCTTACATGGAACTAAGATCTTATGAAGCGCTGGTTTTCAGGCACTCCTACCCTCCTACCTCCCTACATGCTTACACGGGTGTCGTAAGAATTGCGAGTTCCCCAATCACCTCCATCATTAACTCATCTAATATTAGAATTAAATTTTAACATATTATGCTTGTGAAATTTCTTTTTTTTTTTAGTTGGATAGTAGCAACGTTTTTATAGAGAAAATGATAATAAATAAAATTTTACTACTTTGTTATTGGTTTTAAGAATATTTTTAACAAACTTCAGTATTACTTAATATTATATTATTAGTTATTATCAAAAGTTATAAATATCTGTATTGCTGTACTTGCGTAATTAAGTAATATTTTTTTAAATGCGCCGAGCTACGCTACGTATCTTTATTATACCTAGTAAAAGTGGTCGAGCCGAGAAACTTCAAATAAAAACCGACTCTGTTTGTGAAAACCTAGCCGACCAAATTCAATGAGGGCCGCCGACAGACATTTGACACGTGTAAAGAGTTCTAGCAATGACCCAGTAGATGGAGCTAGAAGTATAATCGAGGTCTCGTGCACATTATCGATAGTACTACTATGCTAAAATGTAATACTATATAGCAAGTATCAACTCTGAAATTGTAAAACAAAATATTTTATTTTAATTTATATTAGTGTTAGTTTCTGATTTTTACACAATCTTAAAATTTCATTCATCAATCAACAGGTTGCGCCTATGGTGACAAACGGGCACACAGTACAGTACACACCTGATGGTAAGTTGTTGCTGTGGCCCATAGACATCTAACATCTGTTCTATCCTCGATTACAAATCAAAATTAAGATTCGTTGTCACCAGGGAGGGCTAAGATGGAATGCCTCGTTTCCAGTAAAAAGGGTCCCCGGTTCTTCTCTCTCTCTCTCTCTTCTACCTTTCTCTACACTCACCGTACGAAACACAGCAGCATTAAGCTACTATTTTAAGCTGGTTTTCTGTAAGAGCGTGTTACTTCAGGTGACTCATTATTAGTGGAATTCTTTGGGGGAGACCAAGGTATGGCAGTCGATTTGTGAACAGCTGTAATGTATAGAGGTACGAGAATTTCTGCTTATTTTAAGCGCCTTGACAAAACGTGGTAGAGCCGCGCTGCAATTTTATTATAGTTCTAGCGCGAGTAGGTAGGCTCGACCTGGGTAGGACCACGCTCTCACAGAATACAAACGTAAAATAGCAGCTCAATGCTACCAATATAGCTGCAGCATGGCTCCACCATATATAAAAAGATGAAAGTTGTATACTGTAACTGTACCATTATACCTACTGGTTTTTTTTGTTATAGATTTATTTCTAATTATTTTTATTGCTTGGTAGGTAGGTTTGATGCTCCTATTACCAGCCTTTATGTGCCAATTTCAACATTAAAATTTTGTACCTATTATTTGAATAAAGCATAATATTTTTAAAATCTTGGTTTTATCGATAGATTATTTAGGTATCCAAAAGTGTAATGAATATTTATGTATTTACATTTAAGACGAGCTCTTAGCACGATTTCAAATTCGTTTATCACCCGCGCGTCCCGCAGTGGGCGGAGCGCAACCGGCTGTCGGAGAGCGCCGCGTGAACACAGTATGCGCAAAGCAAGCAGACAATTCACCTCCAAACAAAAACTTTTCCGTGAGGTTTACTGTTCTCAACACCACTAGGTATTAGTAATCATATTTTGAGAACCTACTCACTAAAATCAAAACTGTTTACAATATAGTTAGTCTGGACATCAACTACATTTTAATTATCAATATTTTTTTAAAGTCAGTTTTATGATATGAGCAGGTAGGTACTTAGTCTACTATTTACATACATAAACATTTAAAACGCCACCTCACAAATTCTAAAAAAAAACCAAGCTTCGTTTTCAAAATAGCTAAAATAAGAGAAAAAGAATAGTTTCAAATAAAACCATTAGACAATTCAAATTTATTTTACTATTTTCTATTACCTTACCTCCGGAATTGATGGAGTGACCTGAAGGTGCACTTTGGTAATCGGTATTGGAACAGGTCGCCGAGTACTACTAGGTGTGCCAAGTTTGGTCTCGTTTTATTAGGTATGACGAGCCCTTACCTTCGGACTTGATGGAGTGACCTGAAGGTGTACTTTGGCAATCGGCATTGGAACAGCTTGCTAAATACTACTAGGTGTGCCGAGTTTGGTCTCGTTTTGTTAGGTATGACGAGCCCTTACCTCCGGACTTGATGGAGTGACCTGAAGGTGTACTTTGGCAATCGGCATTGGAACAGGTCGCTAAGTACTACTAGGTGTGCCGAGGTTGGGCTCGTTTTGTTAGGTACGATGAGTCCTTACCTCCGGACTTGATGGAGTGACCTGAAGGTGTACTTTGGTAATCGGTATTGGAACTGGTCGCTAAGTACTACTAGTTGTGTCGAGTTTGATCTCGTTTTGTTAGGTATGACGAGCCCTTACCTCCGGACTTGATGGAGTGACCTGAAGGTGTACTCTATTAATCGGCATTGGAACAGGTCGCCGAGTACTACCAGGTGTGCCAAGTTTGTGCTCGTTTTGTTAGGTATGACGAGCCTGTCGTGAAGCGACAATTAAAAACTAAATAACCTAACCTAACTACAACAAAACAACCAAAAATAAAATAAATTATTTAAAAATTTGAAAAGATTTACAGTTTCTTTTATAAAAAAAGGTATGAAGGTGATGATGGGCTGTAATGATGATAGTGATTTACAATATTATTAAAAAAAAATAACAAAAATAAAGATACTGCAACGAAGTATGCACAGGCTATGCCTATGATAGGTGCGCAGCGCCTGCTCTAGGTACACGCAGAATCTGGAGAAAGCACATGCAGCGTCTGGAGAAGGTACACGCAGCGCTTGGAGTAGGCCCACGCAACGCCCGGAGCAGATACACGCAGCACCCGGAGTAGACACGCAGCGTCTGGAGTAGGTACACGTGGCGCTTGAAGTAGGCAAACACAACGTCCGGAGTAGACACACACAGCGTCCGGAGTAGACACGCAGCGTCTGGAGTAGGAACACGCAGCGCTTGAGACAAACACGCTCAGCGGCCGAAGATAGCGCGGGCACTAATAGGTGGAGGCGTAGGCGTGGCTAGGCGACGACTTCAGGAGAAGGCTTGCAAGATCCCGAGGCAGTGCGGATAAAGCCTTTAAGAGGTGCTTCTCGTATCCAAGCTGAAGTGAGGACCTCTATCGGCCGATTCTTCGGCTTTTATACTTTTTGACGGATCTGGGATAAGAACGAGAAATTATTTGAAATTATTTAAATTAAAAGCAAATTTTTGTAAATGGCCAAGAAGAAAAGAGTATTTTTGAAGTAAAAACATCAGGCCGGTAACAATATTTGAATAAAAATTGCCACGACAACCAGATAAACAACGATGTCAAAACATGTCAAATTTTGGTTTTAAGCTCGTAATACAGAAACGGCAAGATTTAAGTGAAAAATGAGATATTATTTATATAGAAAAAAAGGTAGCGCAAGAGCGCGCACGAAACCCGAAATTGTAGAGTTACGGAGAACTAAATAAAAGATCGAAAAAGGTAGACTCCATTGACACCGATTTAAAAAGTGCTGATAACGTGAAAATACGAAGTGAAAATGATTT